GTTGAGGGTCAGGGACACAAGACTGTGGAACGTGGACATGGTCTTTTTGAATTGGGGGCTGCTGTAGACAGCGAGGTGATGGCTGAAGTAGTCTTCGATGTTGAGCTCCGAGATCACATTCTCATTCCTCATGTAGCTGAGGGAGTTGAGAACATGGCAGCCTTGCTCCACCGTCAGCCTGGCTCCTTTTAGGTTGAGATAATCCAGGTGTTTGCCCATCTTCTTCAAGAAGAAGCTCAAGCTCCTGATGAACGAGCTCCTGATGCTGTTCCTCCACACCAGGCGGTCCAGCTCCAGGTGTTGGATGGAAAGAGATTTCAGACGGTTGTTGCTTTTGCCCAGACAAGACAGAAGGCCCCGCATGGTGACCTGGAACTTCTTGGTCAAGACAGCATTGTAAGGATTCAGGAATTTGACCTCCAGGCGCTCCAGATAACGACCAAACTTCTTAACGTACCAAAGAGCAGACTGAAATTCAGATGCATGTAACCTCGAAGGTCTCCCGCTGAAGGTGATGGTCCTGTACCGCCAGAGGTCAGCTGAATACATCATCTGGTTCCATTTTCTGCAGACAAGAGCAGCCCTGGACCTGTCCCTGTCTCCTAGCCACCAGAAAACACGGCGCAGGCACACATCAGGCAGACTGGCCCAGCAGCTCTGGTCTTCAGGCTGTATCAGTTCACTTTCTTCATCCATCCAGGAACTGGGAGGAACGGTGCGGCTGTGTGTTAGGCAGGGCTTCCACAAACGAGGAAAGAAAAGCAATCACTTGCTTTCTGTGGAGAGTAAAAAGGAAGCGCCATTACTTGTCAAACAAATTAAACTCAAATGAAGCAGCTTTCCCTGCGGTCCCAAGTGTATTAGGCACCGTGCCAGGTGTGGGTGGTTCTAGGATAAAGGCATGGTACAGTCCACACCTGCAAGGATTTCACAGTCTAACCAGGGACACAGACCAGTTCAGTTATAACCCAGTGAGAGAGTGGGAAGGTTCAGGCAGACTCATAGTGCGGGGTAGCACACACGGAGGGTGACTTATTCTGTTCGGCTAAGGAGGAAGAAGAGAGGGCTGCTCAGAGGAGGTGACGTCTGAGCTGGGTTTTGAAAGGTGAGTAGGATTTGCAAGGCAGACCAGGTGGGCCTAGTGGTAGTGGTGGAGGAACTGATGCATTCTGGGTGGAGGGAACAATATGTGCAAAGCCGCAGAACTGTGAATGCATGTGATGTGCTCACATTCAGGGAACTAAAAATTGTTTGGTCATCTGGCACTTGTTAAGTGGGCTGAAAATGGAGGAGCTGGATCACATGGGAGCAGCGGGAGGTGCTGGATCAAGGGGCCCTGAGCCATGTGTTAAAGATTATGTCCTAGAAGCCAGAGATTCCACTTCCCCTCTCCCCATCGGTAAATAGGGGTCATAGTGGTGCCTTTCTCCTAGTGTTGGGGGGATTAAGTGAGCTGATAGCGGAAAGCACCAGAATCAGTGCCTGCCACATAGTAAACGCTACTCAAGACCTGGCTGCCATTAATAAGTAAGTTGGTGCTTCTGCAGCATCTGGTCTAGGAAGAGAGGAATACAAACACATCCATTCCCCAAATACAGAGACGGAGGTGTTGAAGGTGAATAAAGGTTCCCAGGGAGAACGTGTAGTGAGGAGGTGGGATTCGAACCCAGGGTTGGTCCACCCTATCACACAGCTGCCAAGCAGGGAGGGAAATCTAAAGACGTCCTACCCACCGCGGGAGGGCAGTTGGCCCGGCAACTCCTGCAGCCAGATGCTTCCCAGAGGAGGTGATGAGAGCAGCCCGCCTCCCCGGCGCGGGCCTCGGGGCCTCCCACCGCCACCCCAGCCTGCTCCCGTTCGCGGAGCCCTGCTTGGGCTGTGCCCGGATTGGGCTGCAGGGACGGCGAGTGCGCCTGCCTGCTCAGCCCACGCAGCTGCTGCTCCGACGCCAACTCCGTGGGCGCCGGGGGTTTGCGTCTTGCTCTGGCCCAGGTTAAATGCCAGGCGTCGGCCGCCTTTGTGACGCGCAGCCACCTGCAAGGCTCTGCTCCTGCCCCCAGCTCGCAGAGCTCCAAACCTGCAGTTTCCAGGTCAGTCGATCCCATGTGCAGAGGGTGAGACGGGCGGTGCTGGGAGGCTCGGGCGGCGCTCCGGGCGAGGATGGCATGGCCCCTGCCCTTCCTTCTGCACACAGGGAAGAGTTTGGGTCCGAACTTGGGGCTCAAGTCTCGTTCAGTTTCCTGCCTTTCCCATCCTGACCCAACCCTGGGTTTCTTTCGAAGCTGCCGCTGCGTGCTCAGCCCTAGGGTTCAGTTTCCTTTTTTTAGACAAGGCTCCCCGACAAAAACCCTTAAGGACCTGACTTACCTGGGCAAAGCCAAAACTGAGAACTGCTTCCACGGTTTTGGTCAAGGAAGACAGGAATACAAACACATCCACTTCACAACTCCCGAAACAGTGTTATGGCAAAGCAGTTTGGCAAGATCTCAAATCACTTAAAACAGAACCACCATTCTGGTAGTGGCTGAACGAATTTACATTCCCACCAGCAGTGTGTAAGTGTTCCCCTTTCTTTGCAACCTCACCAGCATGTTATTTTTTGACTTTTTAATAACAGCAATTCTGACTGATGTGAGATAGTATCTCATGGTGGTTTTGATTTGCATTTCTCTAAAGATGTTTCCCAGTGAGAACATGTAGTAAGTGGGGAGGTGGGATTCGAACCCAGGGTTGGTCCACCATATCACACAGCTGCCAACCAGGGAGGGAAATCTAAGGACGTCCCACCCACACCTATTTTCCTCCCCTGGCAGAGGCAGGGGCCCTAATGGACTCCCCTCAAAGCCCAGGCAGAAAGGTGGGAGTGTGCTGTTTGATGCTGGGTAGGTTGCATCGCTAGGCTTCCCCCAGCCACTCTCCCTGCCCAAAGCCTTCGAAGATGCCCCTCTCCACTTCACTGGGCTCTTCCCCACTGTCCCAGCATCATTGTCCCTCCCTCCCTGAACGTCTTCTGCTCCCCTTTCCCTGCTCACTGCCTCATCCTGGGGTCCCGGCTGCTCCCATCCCTGGCCCTGTAAACCAATGTGGAATCCAAAGAAAGATGGACAAGCAGCTTTTAGAGAGGTATTTTTATTCTTTGGGGACAAAGCTGGGTTCTGTAGGTGTCCAGGCTGTAGGGCCCAGAGGCTTAATCAGAATTTTCAGGCAGAACCAGGACCTTCCTTTTCTCCCCTTGGTTTATTTGTAGTCCTTGGGCAAACAAATGCCTTTGTTCAAAAGAAGGGAAATAGTCCAAACCTTTTAACTTTTGTTTTAGGTTCAGGGGTACATGTGCAGGTTTGTTATATAGGTAAATCGCATGTCATGAGGATTTGGTGTACAGATTATTTCATTATCCAGATAATAAGCCTCATACCAGATAGGAAGTTTTTCAGTCCTCACCCTCCTTCCAGCCCCAGGGTCTGTGGTTCCCTTCTTTGTGTCTCTGTGTACTCAATGTTTAGCTTCTACTTATAAGTGAGAATATGTGGTATTTGGTTTTCTGTTCCTGCATTAGTTCATTTAGGATAACGGCTTCCAACTCCATCCATGTTGCTGCACGGGACGTGATCTCATTCTTTTTTATGGCCGCATAGTATTCCATGGTATATATGTGCCACATTTTCTTTATCCAGTCTACCACTGATGGACATTTAGTTTGATTCCATGACTTTGCTATTGTGAATAGTGCTGCAGTGAACATTCATGTATATATGTCTTTATGACGAATGATTTATATTCCTTTGGGTATATACCCAATAATGGGATTGCTGAGTTGAATGGTAGTTCTAAGTTATTTGCAATATTGCCAAACTGCTTTCCACAATACCTGAACTAATTTATATTCCCACCAGCAGTGTATAAATGTTCCCTTTTCTTTGCAACCTCACCAGAATCTGTTATTTTATGACTTTTTAGTTATAACTATTCTGACTGATGTGAGAGTATCTCATTGTGGTTTTGATTTGCATTTCTCTAATGATAAGTGATGTTGAACGTCTTTTTCATACACTTGTTAGCCACATGTATATCTTTTGAAAAGTCTCTATTCATGTCCTTTTTCCACTTTTTAATTAGGTTTTTTGCTTGTTGGTGTATTTAAGTTCCTTATAGATTCTGGATATTAGACCTTTGTCAGATGCAGAGTTTGCAAATATTTTGTTCCCATTTTATGCGCTGTTTACTCTGTTGATAGTTTCTTGTGCTGTGTAGAGTCCTTTAGTTTAATTATGTCGCATTTATCAATTTTTGCTTTTGTTGCAATTGCTTTGAACATCTTTGTCATGAAATCTTTGCCCGTTCCTATGTCCAGAATGGTATTGCCTAGGTTATCTTCCCGAGTTTTTACAGTTTGAGGTTTTACATTTAAGTCTTTAATCCATCTGGAGTTGATTTTTGCATATGGTGTAAGGAAGGGGTTCATTTTCAATTTTCTGCATGTGGTCAGCTGATTATCCCAGTACCATTTATTGAATGGGGAGTTCTTTCCCCATTGCTTATTTTTGTCTAAGATCAGATGATTGTAGGTATGTAGCTTTATTTCTGGGCTCTCTATTGGGTTCCACTGGTGTACGTGTCTGCTTTTGTACCAGTACCATGTGGTTTTGGTTACTGTAGCCCTGTAGTATAGTTTGAAATTGGGTAATGTGATGTCTCCAACTTTGTTCTTTTTGTTTAGGACTGCTTTGGCTATTTGGGCTTTTTTTGTTCCATATAAATTTTAAAGTTCTTTTTTTTCTGATTCTGTGAAGAATGTTATTGGTAGTTTGATATGAGTACCATTGAATCTGTAAATTGCTTTGTGCAGTATAGCCATTTTAACAATATTGATTCTTCCTATCCATGGGCATGGAATGTTTTTCCATTTGTGTCATCTCCAATTTCTTTCAGCAGTGTTTTGTAATTCCTGTTGTAGAGATCTTTCATCTGCCTAGTTAGTTGTATTCCTAGACATTTTATTCTTTTTGTGACGATTGTGAATGAGATTGCATTCTTGATTTGCTCTCAGCTTGGATGTTGTTGGTGTATAAAAATGCTACAGATTTTTGTACATTGATTTTGTCTCCTGAAAGTTAGCTAAAGCTGTTTATCGGATACAGGAGCTTTTGGGCCAAGACCATGGGGTTTTCTAGATATAGAATCATATCGTCTGCAAACAGAGATACTTTGGCTTCCTCTCTTCCTATCTGGTTGCCTTTTATTTCTTTTTCTTGTCTGATTACTCTGGCAAGGACTTTCAGTACTATGTTGAATAGGACTGTGTTGAGAGTGGACATTTTTGCCTTGTTCTGGTTCTCAAGGGGAATGCTTCCAGCTTTTGCTCATTCAGTATGATATTGGCTGTGGTTTGTCATAGATGGCTCTTATTATTTTGAGGTATGTTCCTTCAATGCCTAGTTTCTTGAGGGTTTTAAACATGAAGTCATGTTAAATTTTATCAAAAGCCTTTTCTGTATCTATTGAGATGATATATAGGTTTCGTTTTGAGTTCTGCCAAACCTTTTCTTTTAAAGCCCAATGAATAAAACCCATCATTTTTCACAAGACCACCACAGCAAGTAGGCAGGAAAGCCAATGTTAAAAGTGAAATCTTCTGAATTTGTAGTACCTTTTCTTTTCCAAATCTAGCTCAAATTTCTCACTTGTTTTCCTTTCGATGAAGCTAACCACCAGCATTTCTCCTAAGAAATGGATATAAAAACGTCTGATATGGTTAAAGTGGGAAGTGTTAGTTCCTAGAATATCTCTGGATATTGCTGTTCCTCATTACAGAGCATGAGCCCTGCCCAAAGTCTGGGGTGTAATGGCATAGAAAAGGTCAGGAGCCCACTGAGCCAGGAGTATAAGAGGCTTGGGACAAAGTTTCAAAGGGGCCTGTTGCTATCACGGGGTGGAGGGACAGATGGGAGAACACTTACACCATGGAATCTTATGCAGCCATTAATAAGAACAAGCCACATTGTTTGGCTTGTAAGGATTTCCTTGGGTATTGCTGAATCCTAACATTAGGATGTAAAGAAATGTTGGCTGGGCACGGTGACTCATGCCTGTAATCCCAGCATCTTGGGAGGCCGAAGCGGGCAGATCATCTGAGGTCAGGAGTTCGAGACCATCCTGGACAACATGGTGAAACCCAGTCTCTACTAAAATACAAAAATTAGATAGCCATGGTGGTGGGCACCTGTAATCTCAGCTACTCAAGAGGCTGAGATAGGAGAATCCCTTGAACCTGGGAGCCAGAGATTGCAGTGAGCTGAGATCCTGTCACTGCACTCCAGCCTGGGTGACAGAGCAAGACTCTATCTCAAAAAAAAAAAAATGTGGAGAAATGTATATAATAGGACTGTAAATGTGTATGTTTGTATGTGATTATATAAGAAATTGCTAAATAAAATACAGGGTGCCCGAGTTAAATTTTAATTTCAGCAAAACAATCACTGCATGGAACATACTTATACTAAAAACAATCTGTTTCTCTGAAATTCAAATTTGACCGAATGTCCTGTATTTTTATTTGCTAAATCTGGCAACTTTGTTATATAAGGATGGAGAAAATTGTGAAAGGAAATATACCAAATTGTGGGAGGCAAGGAAAAATGGCACTAGTAACACCCCCAGCAAATATGAAATTAGCCAGTTTTTATAAAATGATATGCTTATGTGCATACATGGATGCATAAGGAAGTTAGAAAAAAAGGTTTCGGTCTACTAAGTCTTTTTTGTAAGGAGCATGCATCATACACCAAGTGAAAAAGGCAAGTGGCAGAGTAGTAAGTATAGTAAGATAATGTATGCGGAAAAAGAAACAATTAAAACCCAGTATATGCTTGTTTAGATTCGTAAAAACAAAGGTAGAACTTTGAAAAGATGCCCATAAAGCCGTCGAAATTGGTATCTCAGTGTATGGGGTTGGGGAAGTAGGGTTAGCTTTGCTTTTATACTTCTTTATATGGTATTACGTCAACTAGCTCCACAAAATCTAGTACTTTTGTATTTCGAAAAATAAATGAACTCCAGGCATCCAGTCTGGAGCGGAACAGCATAAACTTTGGAGCTGTATATATGTGGACTCAGGCTGGATTCTGCCACTCTAATTGTATAGTCCTTGGGAAGCTACTTTACCTTGTCTGTAAAATGGGGATAAAATACATACCTATTGTTTATGATGAAGATTATAAAGAGCTCTGCATTTTAACTGGCACATAATGGTTAACAACCTCGAATGCCAATTGCTATTATTACTAGAAAATAACCTAGGATGTAAAAATCAGGATATTCAGTGAGATGCCTGTAAGCCCTGAATTGCTTGAAGCAAACTTTGATCTGCTGGAGATAAGCCATCAACTGGCTTAGGATCTTGACCGAGACATCTCATCTCTGGGCCTCAGTGCCATATCTACACCATGGGAGGGACCGACTGGGTATCCTCTGCTTCTTTCATTTACTCAACAGTTTTGGGGCACTTGCTGTATGTCAGTCCCTGGCCTAGGAGCTGGAGACACAGAGATGAGAAACTGTGGCTCGACCTTCAAAGGTGACTCAGTCTCGGAGGTGATGCAAATAAACCAGGTGGTGAGTGCTATGAGAGAGTGCATTTGGATACCCAGAGAAGTGGGAGATAGAGAAGGGCCACATTTGTGAATATCTTTCAGGTCTTAGATTTTTTAAAGATACTGTACATATGGTTCACAACCAGGTAAGCAAAGAACAGAGGCTGAGTACCTGATGTTGATTTAGGATGGGCAGGGGAAGCAGGATGCCACACTGAGAACATCTCCTCAGAATGTCATAGGCTGCTTCATCTCCAACAGGGGAGGTGGTCCTGGGCTTGGGCTCTGACATCCAAAGTGGATCCAAGGTTTTGCTTTTGTCTCTTGGTGTTTTCTTTGATGAACTTTCAGAATGAAGTGGAAATCTGTTTATACTTTTTGCCTTTGGACGGACATCTTTCTCCATTGTGGAAGTTTGGTTTTCAGCAGCTTGACTTGGAAGAGATGAAGGAAGAATTTTTGGCTTTCCAACAGGAAAGTGTTTCTTAATCTCTGAGTCTGGACAACATTTACCCTGCAATTGTGAATAATATATCAAATTTTAAAATGATTTCAGGTTTCATGGTCAGAAAATATGGTAGACTAGATAACACAAAACATCCCACTGTAAACATTTTTATATGCTGTATAAAATGTGACAAAACATTCAATTTAATACCCGGCTTTGTAGGAAAGAAAGAAAATTTTGCATTCCAGGAATGAAGGTCTGACTGGTTGCTATGGTTTGAATGTGTCGCCTCCAAAATTCAGGTGTTGCCAATGTGATGGAATTAAGAGGCAGGGCCTCTGGGAGGTGATTAGGTCATGAGAGTGCCTCCCTTGTTAACAGGATTAGGGTCCTTATAAAAGAGGCTTCATGAAGCATTTGGCTACATCCTTCTACTCTTTTGCCTTCTACCATGCTAGGAGGCAACAGGAAGGTCCTCACCAGACACCAAGTGCTGGTGACTTGTTCTTGAACTTCCAGCCTTCAGAGCTGTTAGAAATAAATTTCTGGGAGATCCAAGATGGCTGAATAGAAAGAGCTCTTGAGTGCAGTTCCCAGTGAGAACAATGTAGAGGTTTAGTGATCACCACATTTCCAAACAATTTTTTACTGCCCACAGACCAGGAATTCTCGGGCCGAAAAGTGCCACAAGTTTCCAGCATGGCTGTTTCAGCTGGGGCACTGTGGGTTTCCACACAAAAACTCACACAAATCTGGATATCCATTTCAACTGGCGCCTGGAACACCTGGGAGACAGAGCTGCCCATTCAACTGAAAAAGAGGGGGCTAAAACAGGGAGTCAGGTGATACGGCTTGGCAGGTCCCACCCCTACAAAGACCAGCAATCTGAAATGCTCTGGATTGAGAGTTTCACAGCAAGCACAGCTGGACCAGAGACTGTCCAGCTCTGTGGGGGAAGGGCATCCGCCATTACTGAGGCAGTCCACCACTACCAAGGCAGTCCCTCATTACCAAGGCAGTCTGCCATTACTGAGGCAGACCATCATTACTGAGGCAGTTGTAACTGTATCTCTGTAAACAAAACTGCAAGGAAATTTACACAGCAGCTGGGCAGAGCCCATGGCAGCTCAGCAATGCCTCCGCTGGCAGACTGTGACTAGACTACCTCCTTGCTGGGCAGGGCATCTCTGAAAAAAGGCAGCAGCATGTCAGAAACTTATAAATAAAGCCCCACCATCCCAGGACAGAGCACTTGGGAAAAAAAGGTGGTTATGAGTTCTGATGCAGCAGACTTAAACATACCTGCCCAGCAGCTCTGAACAGAACAATGGAGCTCCCAGCACAGCACTTGACCTCCTATGTGGGACAGACTGTCTCCTTAAGCAGCTCCCTGACCCCTGTATATCCAGAAACACCTCATAAAGGAGAGCTTAGGCTGACATCTGGCAGGTACCCTTCTGGGATGAAAATAACAGAAGAAGAAACCAGCAGCACCCCCTACTGTTCTGCAGCCCTTGCAGGTGATCCCCAGGCAAGCAGGGTTGGTAGTGGACCTCCAGCAGTCCTACAGCAGAGGAGCCTGACTGTTAGAAGGAAAACTAAAACACAGAAAGAAATAGCTTCAACATTAACCAAAAGGATGTCCACTCAGAGACCCCATCCAAAAGTCACCAACTACAAAAACCACAGGTAGATAAAGCCACTAAGAGGGGAAGAAATCAGAACAAAAAGGATGAAAACACCCAAAACCAGAATGCCTCTCTTCCTCCAAAGGATCACAATTCCTCACAAGCTAGCGATCAAAGATGGATGGAGAATGAGTCTGATGAATTGACAGAAACAGGCTTCAGAAGGTGGGTAATAACAAACTTCTCTGAGCTAAAAGAACATATTTTAACCCAGTGCAAAGAAACTAGGTTTCTTGAAAAAAGGTTAGATGAAATGCTAATGAGACTAA